CTTTGACCGAGGCTTCGGTCGTGGTGTCGTATGAAAGGAAAAGCTCCAGCGATCCGCCTCCAGAATCGGAGGAAACGGCCGAATCCACTCAGGCTGAGCCCACTCAGGCTGAATCCACTCAGGATGAGCCCATTCAGGATGAGTCCACTCCAGTGGACCCCGCTCAGCCTCCCCCTGAACCGGAGACCCCGGAAGCACCCGAAGCCTCTGGTTCAGAGGAAGAGGTATTATTGCTTTCAAAATAATTGAAATAATAGTCATTATTAACTCATTGACTGCCAGAGACGTCTATAGACGTCTTTTATGTTTTTCAACGTCAGTGGCTGGGGGACGATCTGCTAAAGCTTGTCCGTAAATATCGGCTTCTAGACAGACTATGTAGTAACAAATTGACCCTCTAGGGGGCAGTGCCACTTTTGATGGGAGATGAGCATAGACTGTAGGCAAATAAGAAAAAGGGAACGGTTCGCTATGAGAGAACATGTCGCCGGTGAGACGCAAGTCGAGGAATAAGGTAGAAACCTTTTTTTTTCCTGATGAAAGGAGAGAGTCTACTCTTTCTTTTGGTGTGTTCGGTGTTTACATAGTCATAGCACAAACTATTCTGTGGCTCTCGAAAAATCCGTCAAAATGCTCAAAAAACTCTGGCAGTATGGGACTCTGTTCTGAAAATGGCTGGCAGTCAATGAGTTAGGGACTTTTTGGGGCGAAAAATAAACAAATGAAACACAAATCGGTTGATAAATGTACAGGAAAGAAGACGGAGTGGGAGGAGCCTGGGGGGTTTAGTTGATGATGTCACACACAGGTGAGCTTTTTGAGTAAAAACATGGACAGAGACTCTTAGCCAGCAGTTCAACATCTGGACCACAGATGTTGTCCTTCTCATCAGAATATTCTGCCTCTCCTTGATCCTCCTCCTTTCCGCTTCCCACTCTGTCCGCGGGCTCTGTCTGCCACACCGAGCTGCCAGTTATCTCTCATTTCCCATGAGGATCAAAGGAAGAAAAAAGCGATCTGGATTTGGGGTATTTTTCCAGGCTTTTCTCGATCTTCTGAACTGTTTTCATGTTGCCAACAGAAGTCCTTCCAGCACAGAAAAATGTTTTAAGATTTTTTTTTTTTAACAGATAAAAGCTCTTGGAGATTTGAAGGAAGACACAGTCTGTCTATAAAGGGAAAATATCTCTGTGAAAAACCACAGAAACGAAGGTTTAACATTATTCAGATTGCTGCCATTTGGCCTTTAGTTGATGTTTGTTTGGGGGTAAAAGAAACATCTCCAAACATAAAGGAAAACATTTGGCTTCATGTGTCTCTTTTAGCTATTTATTGGCCGTTGAAAAGCCCAGCTGGCTTCTTTTGGGTTACAAATCATGAGGAATACCAGAGTTGCTGACTTGTCAGCAGAAGTCCTTCCAGCAGGACAGAAGATTAAGAAATCTGCTTTTTTTAGAGAAAGAATTGGTGTTTTTAGGGCCGCTGCCTCTAGGGCGGCGACATTTTGAGAAAAACATGCTGACAAGCTGAAACGGGCTGCTGAGAAATAGGCTCAAGACTTTGACTTTTTCATTCAAATGTTCCTTTTCCATTAATATTTAAAGAGTTTATTTTCTATTCACCGC